ACACACACACACACACACACATCACATTCAGTGGAGGTAAATTAATGGTATGGCGCTGGCTGAAATAACTCTCATTTGACTTGTTCCTGTCTTCTTAATCTAAGAACACCTCCCTTGATTGATTTTATCCCTTGTGGTGCTCAGCAAGCCACTGTGGCTGAATTCACACATAGCATTAAAAGGTAGCTAAGCTGAAAAGGAGGTAGTGACATATTTTATATTTTCCTGGGCTCCAAGACCACCGCAGATGGAGACTGCAGCCAAGAAATTAAAAAAACACTTGCTCCTGGGGAGGAAAACTATGGCAAATCTAGACAGCATACTAAAAAGCAGAGACATCACCCTGCCAACAAAAGTGTGTATAGTCAAGGCTATGGTTTTCAAGTTGCAATGTATGGTTATGAAATTGGGACCATTAGAAAGGCTAAGCACCAAATAATTGAGGCCTTTGAACTATGGTGCTGGAGAAGACTCTTGCGAGTCCCTTGGACTGCAAGGTGATCAAACTGGTCAGTCCTAAAGGAGATCAACCCTGACTGCTCTTTAGAAGGTCAGATCCTGAAGATGTGACTCAAATACTTTGGTCACCTAATGAGAACAAAGGACTCACTGGAGAAGAGCTTGATGCTGAGAAAGATTGAAAGCGAAAGAAGAAGGGGATGACAGAGAATGAGGTGGCTGGATGGAGTCACTGAAGGTGTGAGCTCTGATGGACTCTGGGTTCTGGTAGAGAACATTGTCCATGCAGTCACAATGGGTCGGATACAATTTCACAACTAACAACAACTACAATGTAGTGAAAAAAGAAAAATATCAATGATAGGGATAAGTATGTCAGGGTTCAGAAGCTCTGAATCCAAATGTAGCTGATTTGAAGTTCCATGTATCTATAGATACTTTGACTATTTGAATGAAGTAATTACTTAACAGATTGTGGGGCAGATTATTACTTTCTTTTGAACAGTTTGTGGAAACTCTTATTCTACTTTGCCAACTCTTGTCATGATATCTATGACTTCAGAAAGACTTAAGAACAGAGCTTTGAATATAGAATTTTTGCTTCTTATGGAACCACCCTAATAAAATGCAAGTTGTCTTTTAACACTGAGGACTACTCTATAAGCTTTATATTGCACTTGTATTTTTTTCCCTTTAATCAAATCCAGATTTGTCCTGGAGCAAGATTACAACTCTGGAGTTTTAAGTGGTGATATCTTTTCATGAAAGAAGGCCATTCATTTTCTTCACATTAATTTGTGTGCTCTATTTCTCAGACAGTGGGAGAATTTAAAGGTTGTGTTTCCACATGAGCTGTACATATGGATTGTTACTATTGCTTACAATCTTCCCACCTGGGTATGCTCAGTTTCCTCAACAAATCGGCATTTGCCACCAAATTTGGTTTTCATTTTTACTTAGAAAAAGAAAACAAAATCTAGTTGTCTCACAAAGACTTGGCTCATATGTTAAAATGTTGAATGAATTTGTGTTACACCATACTCTAATTAAAGCTGAAATAAATGTTCCTGAAGCTACTATGCCCAAATAAGGTAATAAAAAATTGATTTTTATGAAGAGTTAAGAAAGCAGTTAAAGGATCTGTATTAAGTGAGTCTGGCATTGGTAAAAACAGTGTGAGAATTATAATGCCAAAGCAAATGTGCATAGTGTTGGTGTCCAGTATGAAAACTTTTTTTGTTTGCAAAAATTTGCCAATTTCATTATGCTTGTTGTTTTGTAGCAATACTGCAAAATTTCCAAGACTTGCCTAGAACTTAAATGCTACAGTATTTCTGGCTTTTGTACAAACCCCACTTCATAAATACAGTCAATGCAGTTTCACAATGAAAGCAATTTGTGCACCAACATATGCTGGTATTGTTCCTATTGGTAGTAAATTACAAAACGCTGCATTCTGAAAATATGGAATTGGCAGTCAGGGAAACTTAGACAAAACAGTAGACAAGAGCAGTTGGAACCTTCATCTACTCTAGCCAAACTCAAGTTGATATTTTCCTCAGCACCCTGAATTGAACTTGGATGCTGGTAGAAAGTGAGGGTAGCTTGTGAAGTAATGAGTATAATTACTCATGCCACTAAATTGTTATTGATAATATATTTATAAAGCAGAAAAAAATGAAAAATGATGCAAATGCCCCTACTGACTGACACAAAATGCCAAGTTTTGTAACAGTATGTTCTTATAATTGTCCAAAGCTCTCCTTGAGATCAAAATTCCTATGACGCAGAAGACTGAGCCCTCTTAGAGATATAATGTTGGTGAGACATTAATCTGATATAGTTTTTATGGCTCTAAAAAAAAAACCACCTTGGAAGATTATCAAACAGATAATCTTGGATGGATGATTATCAAAGAGAGATTTCAAAAAGAGATTGGGCAATTATTTGTCTGGAATAGAATAGGGTATTTTGCTCAAGCATTGGCAGAAGTAAAAGATCCCAAAGTCCTTTCCAACTCTTATTCTAAAATACTCCGAGGGAAACAATTATTTAGCTCTCTTCAGCCAAAATTAAGGTTGAGGCTCTAAAATATAGAGAATGCCCGGCAAACAATGAACCTGAAAATTAAATGAGTATGTTTCATTTAAAAGAAGCAACTAGAACTAAATGTTGAACAATTGGCAATATGAAATAATGTGTCATTAAATGCTATGTACTCAAAGAACCACATAGGTAGGAAACAGATGCAACTGTAAACCAGACTTTCCAAATCAATTGACAGTTGCTGTGGTTTGATCAAGTCTTGGAGAAAACCACTTCATCTTTTTCTGACAAAAACATGTTTTATTACCTGGCACTGGCAAGAGACTTAATGTGTCCCAAATTAGAATGTTGCAATAAACTTACTTAAATAATCAAAAGGTTATAATTGATAAGCAAATTTAGTTTTGGAGAAAAGTTAAAAATATCTATTTTATATACATAAAATACAAAATACAAATAAAGTACATAAAGATATTTAATGGTTCCAGTAAGTAAATAACACATTTAGTTCATTAACATTATTAAAAATGTACTTAAAATACTGTGTTTGGATTACTTTATAAAGATTAAAACAAAACAATTTGAACCTTTTTACAAGTGCGCATAGGGAACAACTCCAAGTGCTGAAATGAAAAAGAAAATAAATCACTTGTCTTTTACCCATTTATGGGATGGATTGGTTGGTAAGTGCATAGCATTTGTAGACATGGTTATTTCCGTAAAATTTATTTTTTTATCTCCATTAATTTCTAGTAGTAAAGAAAAAGAAATAACATCCCAAAGGACAGTGAAATAGATTTCTTGAAGCATTCCTTTTCTTTATTCCCTTTCCTTATCATTTTTTTAAAAGAAGAATCAAGGCAAAAATAATATACAGATAGGTAAAAGTAAAGATTTCCCTCGCACATATGTGCTAGTTGTTCCCGACTCTAGGGGGCAGTGCTCATCTCCATTTCAAAGTGGAAGAGCCAGTATTGTCTGAAGACGTCTCCCTGCTCATGTGGCCAGAATGACTAAATGCCAAAGGCTTACGGAACACTGTTACCTTTGGTTCCCATTTTTCTACTTGCATTTTTACATGCTTTCGAAATGCTAGGTTGTCAGAAGCTGGGGGAAGTAATGGGAGCTCACTCCGTTACACAGTGCTAGGGATTTGAACCACTGAACTGCCAACCTTTCTGATCAACAAGCTCAGGGTCTTAGCCACTGAGCCACTGCGTCCCTCTAACATAGTCCATAGTCCTTGACTAATAACAGTTCATTTAGTGACCATTCAAAGTTGCAATGGGACTGAAAAAAAGTGACATATGACCATTTTTCACACTTATGACCATTGCAGTATCCCCATGGTCATGTGAGCATAATTCAGATGCTTGGCAATTGACTCATATTTATAACGGTTGCAAAGTCCTGGGTTCTACTAACCTGTTGTGATCTTCTGACAAGTGAAGTCAATGGGGAAGTCAGATTCATTTAACAACTATGTTACTAACTTAATTACTTAACTTTACTTAACAAGTGTGGCAAGTTGTAAATGGGACAATTTTTTCTTAACAAATGTCTTGCTTAGCAACATAAATTTTGGCCACTGTTGTGGTTGTAAATCAAGGACTATCTTTACTGTGGTTCTGACTGTGCCATTTGGAAAGACTCTTGATAACCTTTAGAATAAGTCAAGGACATTTTCAGGAAATATGCACCGAACCAGGATGACAAACTTTTTTGTGGGCAGAGAAGGGTAGGACTAAATTCAATATTTTAATATTATAAACAAAATAACATTGTTGTAGACATCCGAAGCAGATTTGTTTTGAGAGGAACCTCCAAGGGAATCTAAATATACTTCATAGTAAGTGTAGTATTATTTTATAGAACAGATGATGCTAACACAATTTTGATTTCATAGGAATAGAAAGGTTTGCATTCTCCTGCTGTAGTTAAAAATGATTTTCAGCCTTTCCTATTAGGTGCATTTTTAAATGGTACACTTTATATCTGTAGTGCACCAAAATATTCTGATTTTTTTTTTCTGATGACAACATTTGCAATTTGACATCTTGTGCTCAGTTTATTTTATTCAAATACAACTTTGGCAGGTTTCACATTCTGATTGTCTTTTGTCTTCTGCAGCAATATGAAAACTGGAGACCAAAACAGCCAGATAGTTTCTTTTCTTCTGGAGAAGATTGTGTTGTTATAATTTGGCATGAAAATGGTCAATGGAATGATGTACCATGTAATTATCACCTCACTTACACATGCAAGAAAGGAACAGGTAAATAAGTCCAATTTAGACTTATGCAGTAAACATTGTACTGATACTCTTAAAACTTAAACTTGTGTGTGCAACATTTGGTGCTTTGAAAAGTGGGAAACTCATTACAAGTTGAACTAGAGCAGTGAAAAAAACGAATATAAGATATTATACACTTAGAAGCTCTTAAATAATTTAAATATTAAGATACTTTCTTGTATTAAAGAAAGGAATGTAGTTGGTTTCTGTACCAGAAGATTAGAACGTATCTAAGAAGGAACAAAGAAACGAATAGCTAGGTAAATTTTCATTCTAATTAAATTACTGAAAATCATGATTAAACATAAAAAGATCTAAAGAAGATCTAAAGAATCAGCCTGGGTACTATAAAACCAAGACTTTTCAAATTCTTAGAGTTGAGTAAGCATGTGAACGTGTTCCGTATTTTTTGGAGTATAAGACGCACCTTTTTTCTTCAAAAAAAAAAAAGAGGCTGAAAATCTGGGTGCGTCTTATATATTGAATACAGCATTTTTGCCTCCCGAAGCCCCACCCCTTCACCAAAATGGCCACGCAGAGCCTTACAGGCCGTTTTTTCCTCAATTTTGCCCCCCAGCAGCACTCTATAAGCTTCCATAAGGCTATACATGTAATTTTTTTGACAAAAAACAGGCCCGTTTTCGTGAAAAATTCTCCCTCCCTCCCTCCTGTATTTCTCTCTCTTTCTCTTTCTCTTTTTTTCTATCGCCCTATCTACCTACCCCTCCCTCCCTCCCTCTCTCTCTCTCTCTCTCTCCCTCTCTCCCTACCCTTACCTACCTACTGCATTTCTCTCTCCCTCTCTATCCCTTTATCTACCTACTACTTTTTTTTTAAAAAAAAGTATCTTCAAAACCTTGGTGTGTCTTATACTCCAGTGCATCTTATACTCCAAAAAATACAGCAAGTTTTTGTTAGCATTGAAATTTCAAAAGGTTTTAAACAAAATTATTTACCAATCTGTGCCATAGTAATCATGGGAACATCTTATGACTCTTGTTGCTTAAATTACAGAAAATAGAAAGGGATGGTCCATGCTTGCAACTGAGTTATATAAGAGGAATTCAAGTCTGATCAATGAATGCTATGTCTTTATAACTCATTTAAAGCTGACAAAGTGATAGCTGGGTTTGTTAATGACACCAAATTATTTAGTGTGCTTACAACATAAAGAAATATCAAAAACTGTAACATTTTTACAACTTGAAGGAATATGAATTGAAATGATATGTGAAGTTTGGTATAAGGCTATGAGATACACATTGAGCAAATTATTTTAGGCACCCAAACAAAACTTGGAATCATTACAATATTCATATATTCTGGCCACTTGGATCCTATATTACCACCAATAAGTACAATGTTGTTTTATTCATGAATTAATGGTAACATTGGACTAATAGTGGAACCTTTGTGTCATAGTGGAGCATAGAGTTTTATGGCTGATTAGTCATTTGTATAATGTGGCAAACAAACATTTTTATAGCACAAGGAAGACAGTGGTGGGATTCATATTTTTTTTCTACCAGTTCTATGGGTGTGGTTTGGTGGCCGTGGCATGGCATGGCATGGTTTGGTTGGCATGGCTTGCTGGGCATGGCATGGTGGGCACAGCAAGGGAAGGATACTGTAAAATTTTGATTCCCACCCCACTCCAGGGGAAGGTTACAGCAAAATCCCCATCCTTCTGATCAGCTGGGACTCAGGAGACAGAGAATAGATGAGGGTGGGGCCAGTCAGAAGTGTTATTTACCAGCTTTCCAAACTACTCAACATTTCCGTTACCAGTTCTCCAGAATTAGTCAGAACCTGCTGAATACCACCTCTGAAGGAAGTGCTATATCCAAGTATGTAATATGATGCAGTATAATATACACAATTCAGCTTTTTAGAAACTTGTAGTTTTCTACTAGAAAAATGGACAAAAACCTTTTCAAATAATATATACAGGAATTGTTCAAAAAAATCCTCTTAAATCTGATAATATATTTTCCTGTGTTTTCTATTTTGATTGGTTTAAGTTTTATAGAATTGTGTGTTTGTGTGATTTTTAGAATATATGGTCTAAAAATCCATGGATGGATGAGTAGATGGTCTTGTAGTGAAGGTTGAGATTGATTGATACATAAAAAATTACATTTTATAAAAAAATTAATTTGTACTTTCAGTTGCTTGCGGCCAGCCACCGGTGGTAGAAAATGCAAATACCTTTGGAAAGATGAAGCCCCGTTATGAAATTAACTCATTGATCAGATATCATTGTAAAGATGGCTTCATCCAGCGACATGTTCCAATAATCAGATGTCAAGGAAATGGTCGATGGGATTTACCTAAAATTACCTGCATGAATCGTGAGTAGATTATGTGGAGGAAAATACGATTGCTTATTCTTAAATTAGATATTTGCCATCCTGATGAAAACTTCTACAAGATAAAATCAAAACAACTTTTCTTTCCCATAAAGTATCTTCAGTTATTACTCTGACCACTGAATTTACTTTGAATAAAAGTAAATCTCTTTGAGTGAATCTCTTTGTTCTATGAATTGAATGAATGATTTGATGCTTACCGGGAGAATGGGAAAAATGATTACTATGGAAGAGACTATAGCACACTAGCCAATGTCTGAATCTGATTATACCATATATATATTATACATTGCATTCATTCATCCTGCTTATATTTCTGTTAGCGCAGTTGTAAAGCTTTCCTTTTTTTTCTTTTATTTTCAGCATCTTCATTCCAAAGGACTTATTCTAAAAAATACTATTATAAAAATTATTCACCAGGAAAGGTAAACTCATTTAATTCATCAAAACATTTTCATCGTTGGATCAGGACATGGCAAGATTCAAGGCGTTGAACCCACTTCTGGTAAAAGTGGGACATTTGCCATGCCAGAATGCCCTAATTTATGGTGCCTTAAAAAAATAAAGGATTACCCAGCATTTTGGAATACATATGGACCTGAGTACATACAACACATATCAATGATGGCTACAAATGAAAATACTGAAAAGGGAACAATTTCCAGCCTATCTAGTATGTTAATTTCTATATGTCGTTGGTGAGGGATTATTTGATTCTTTACCCCAGTCCCTGTAGTAATTAAACTCTTCCATTTTAGCACCAATGATAATGTAAATAAGATGATTTAATAGTGTTTAAGTGTGTTGTATTTTAAAAAAAACCTGTATATACAATAAGATGTCAAACTAAGTTCAGGCTTATTTATGACCATTTGGCTTCAGAGATCTTTAATCATTTATGTTGTTTGTCTTGGAGGTACTTTACTAGACTGGAAATAATTTCAAACTGTTATCAGCAATCATTTTGTAAACATGGGAGACGCGGCTATTACAAGCTGAAGATGAACTGTGAAAGTAGTTTTGGTCAAGAAACAGCTATTTTCTAATGAAGAACGGTAGAATTTATGGAATGAAAAGCTTTCACAAGGAATATGAAATTAAGAGCAACTTGGAAGAAGTGACTCCAATATGGAACTTGACTTTTGTCCTTTCTAGCCTTGGCACTGATCACGAAGGACTTGAGGACTCTTTTAAAAATTTGACAAGGAAGGGCTGTAGGATTAATAACAATAATAATAGTAATAAAGGCTAATAAGTAATAGTAATAAAGGCTAATACTTTAATTTTCAACCAGGGCCATTTAAAAAAAATATCAACTTTTCCAACACTAATCATGGGTCTATTTTACAGCTCTCTGCATTTTAAGATGGAGATATATAGACCTACTTTTTTGTAAAATAAAATTTAAAAAAGTAAATAATTTTGTATATAAAATATCTATAACCATTTTTAATCTTTTTATAAAGTAATGAATGTTTGTGTATGAATGCTGCAGCTGTGAAGCGTACATAAATAAATGAAGTAAGCCATACAGATATAATTTATTGGATGTTCTTTCTATCCTGACAGCTGTCAAACTCCACTAATGCATTAGGAAGAGCAAGAGTTGGTTTCAAATGTTTTTCTGCTTAAAGGGAAAATAAAATCTAATAAATCGGATCATTTATTTATGGTAATATGAATGATAGTTATGTGATAATCGTGATCTTTGCCTCTGAAAAATATGTTATATGCCCATAAATATATTGTATGTTTTTCTTCAAATGTGGAAGACAGGAATTGCCTTTTCTTCAGTACTCAACCTCACACAATCTATTAGAGCAATTAGCTATAGAAGAGGATAATTTTAAAATATGGGATGATATTTATTGTTAAATCTATTCCATATAAGGCTGCACATTTACTCATCTAGTTTGCCTTTACAGCTTCCAAAGTGGTCATAAAGGTTATGAGTAGATTCCATATGTATTCAAGAATTGGACTTGGGTCAACTTTATACATTAGTTTTATGTAGGAAATATTTCCTTTTAATGCAAGCTCAAGTAGTATACATTTATAAGAGTTAAATTCTGGTTTGGCGTCTTTCACATATGGTATAATTCCTATATAATATTATAATATTATTTAGCTGAATTACTGCTATAATGAATCCACATAATGACACAGTTGAGGAATTCCGTATTGTATGATCAGCAAAAAATAAATTGATTAAATTGTAGAGGAAATCTGAACTATCAGTCTACAAAACAGAGTAGTCTTATGGTAGTATTCTGATATTGGATTAAAATGAGTACATCACAATTTTCATCTTTGGATATTGATGTACTAAAATTATCCATAAATTGCAATTATTTCAATCAATATTTTGAAATTGAAATTACTCAGGAAAATCAGGCTCTATCTGATTATTCTGATCTGCATAATTTCTTATAAAAGATTATCACTTTTAAAGCCATTTATATATTCCCGGTTTTCTTTAAAGTCCCTTTTTTGCTATTTATATTCTGCTTTGTATGTGTAATGTGCATCTTTCAAATTTATATATGATTCTGACTCACCAAAGAAATTTGCTCCACTGTGATTTCTCTAGTTTATTGCATGTCCTTGAAATTTAAGTCGATGTAAGGTCTATTTGTGCTGAAGAGTGAAGTCAGATAATTAAGAACAACAAATACTTAGATATACAAGCACTTTTATACTGTTTTTATTACAACTTAATATCTTTCTAGCTGTTTAACCCAAGTCAATAAACCTTTAATGCAAAATTGAGTAGACCACAATCATTAGATAATGAGTCGTTAAAGCTGTTTTATAATATACCACATATATATAGTGAATGTATAAACTAAGACTATTCACAGTTAATGGTATATTTTGTACTATTTTATACAAAAATACTTCCATGTAGGTTTTGTTGCTGTTTTTCGGTATTTGTACTTTCGCTCTTTGTTTTATATTAGTACACAAATCAAAGCTTTTAGGCCAGAAATTTACCAAAGAAAAATAGAGAAATGAAAAGCTATTAAATTTTGATCTAACACAATTATAGCAAAATATCTTCAAATGATGTAAAAATGCAGCAAAAACATGATCTATTTATGCTGTATATGGAAAGAAGCATACGTAACCTTGTTCTAAATGAAGTATATTTTCTTTCTTTGCCATATTGATTCAGGCAATGAACAAGAATAAATATTGTCCAGATTTCTTTTTACAAAACTGCATTTTAACCATGCCATGAGCTGGATGGAATTTCATGTATACGGCCATTTCTTCCTCATTTTCTCCATGCTTTGCTCATCTGCCTTCAAGAAAATTATTCAGGATTCATAAACTTCTCTCTGTTCTTCTCTCAAGTGACCAGGTGTATTGTAAGGAAATGCAAAAGATCAATGCTTATTGTGCATGCAGCTGCCTTCAAGCTGTTCCACTTTTCCCTCAGTGGCCCATTAAATCTACCTCATATAGAAAAAGGATTCCAAATATTGCTGCTCCCCAGTGAGAACCCAACACTGCAACTAGATTTGAATCTTGTGTTGGTACTGTAACATTGAATGCTGCTTATTGCTACCTATTTGGTCAATATTCCCAGATTCCCTAGGATAATTAAGTAATTATCCTAATGCAACCAGCCCTCATTAATTGAACAATTATAACATATTTTATAAAATGATACAAGTAAAGAACAAATCTCAGCACTCAAAAATCAGCACAGGAAGAAGAGGTCTTTATGAACAATGAACAGGAGCTTTAAATTGTCTTTAGGTTTCAGAAGAACGAAGTGGTATTTAAACATTAGGCTACACTATGTTTATATTTAGCAAATAGCCCACAAAAGCAATGGATTGGAACCAATCAAGGAGGGAACTTACCTAGAATTAAGGAGAATGTTCCTGACAATGAGAAAAATAAACCAGTGGGACAACTTGCCTCCAGAAATTGTGGGTGCTCCAATACTGGAGGTTTTTGAAGAAAAGACTGGACAACCATTTGTCTGAAATGGTATAGGGCTGTGATGGCGAACCTATGGTACATGTGAAGACAAGTTCACGGATACGCATGCGCATGCCAGAAATCCAAAGACCAGGTGGCCAGTGGCATGTGCACACCGGGCAGCTGGTCTTTTGAGTTTTGGGGGCTTTGGCATGTGCGCGTGCTCCAGTTTGGGCAGTCGATGCCAAAAAAGTTTGCCATCACTGGTATAGGGTTTCCCCTCTTGAGCAGTGGGTTGGATTAGAAAACTTCCAAGGTTCCTTCCAACTTTTATTCTGTTACAAGTATTCCTTTGGATTGAATCCACGGCTTTTGCTTGGACTCTCTTTCAATAGGATGATGAACTCCACATAACCAAGTCATGTGGAGTCCGTGTCCACCCAATCTTAACACAACTACTTACATACATATATACAAGTTACCTATTTAAGACTTGTTTTGTACAGAATATTAAAAATATGTGGAATGTAGTCCCAGAGTAAGAGACTATTTTACATTGTGGGCATACTTGGAATTAGCATTTTGTGAGTGCTCTTAATAAACTCTCTTCATAAACTTCAATCAGAACAATCCAGTTTAGATCACCATTTAACTGTTTGAAAGGCAACTAAATAGATTTGTGAAAACCTTTATGCTGGCTGAAGATGATATTCAAGATGTCTATATTTCACCACACATTTCATTTTTTAATGTGTCGTTTGGGTTCAACTTCATTTCTGTTGTCTTCATCGACATATCCATGAAATTTTCCTGGCAGGAATTAATGAGAATTTTTTCTATATGCTGCAAAATATAGAAACAATCAAAGTCAGTACTTTGCCTAAATGTTCATTTTTATGCATATCAGTGAAAGATAGAAATGTCAACCCTGATTTGTTGAACAGCACCAAGATTCTAGGAATAATTCTTTTTAGGAAAAAGAACAACAAGCCTTTTCATTTAAGGTTCCAGGAAGAATTATTTCCCTTAAAAATGAACATTGGTGTATCTGAAAATAGTAGACAAATGTACTATGTACCAGATTTATTCTTTATTCTTCCTTCTCCCTCTCTCCCTCCCTCTCTCTCTCTTACACACACACACACCATACACACACCACACACACACAAATGTATGCTTATGATCAATAACCAGAAACATTACAAAAATGCATAAGTAAAATAATGCTCGGTCATGTTTGCATTTTTTTTTCATTTTCACTTTAGCAATGGAAATGTTTGTTATCACAGAGATCATAATACTTTGTGTCAAAAAGAAGTAGCAACTTGCCCATTTTGGATATAGGTAGATATAGAATCAGAAGGAGCCAAATCTCATACACATTATAGTAAATACTGAAAAGCAGAATGTAATATGTTCTACTGTTTCAATCTGTCAGATTCAGATTATCAATCAGCATTGAAAACGGGATGCAAGAGTATTTTAAAAAGGGCCAAAGGGAAAACATTGCATATAGCCCTAAAAATTATTTCAACCTGAGGAAAATAAGTATATTCAGGTAATTTGCAGGTTTCATAGCCCACATGTTCCTACATTATGAGATCCTATTCATTCTGATACACTATATCATGTAATCCTGGGCAAAACATGTTTAGTCTGTTCATGCATAATAATTCTAGGGAATTCTACCAAAAGCTAGTATTTTGATTGCTTTTCCCCCCACCTTGCTGATGGTCATCTGCCAGAGTATTTCTTTTTTTGGGGGGAAGCTGGCTCATAAGCAAGTAACTAATCATTTAGCTGCACTGTTAGGCACTGTAGTTTCCTAATATGAGTGGTCAGCATTCATTGTGTATTACAAAAATTCACAATTCAGCGTTAAAGTATAAGCATTAATGTAAAAAGACAAAAGTTTATTATAAGCTGATTAACATACTAAAATTGACTGTGATTTTGGTAAAATATGATATATTGAATAACCAGTTGGTTGAGTTCATCCGATACGCATTTGTAAACTAATTTACAAATCATGAAACTAGGATTCCATATCTGTGCCAAAATATAAACCATATTTTGATATGCAATGTATTAACGTAGACATATGAAGGAATGTTGATATATCAGAAAAAGTACAGTAATTGGAAGGTTAATATCTTCTGGAATGGGTGACGTAGAGAAAAAAAGGATTAGTACACTTCTTGGAGGATTTCTTTCTTTGTTTATTTAAAACATTGGTGTAGCGGTCATGTTACAACCAGCTAATTTTTTTCAATCAAAAATTTAAACAGCCATATAAAACCATAAAACAAAAACAACAAAAACCTGGGACCAAGTCAAACTTCTGATTTGGATAAATGGTTACTAATTGTTATACACTACATCCAACATCTGAATCTGTCTACTTTGAAAAGAAATAAGAGACTGTTCATTCTGCTTATGAGCTTACTAGAGCTATTAAACTGGTTAGGATTGAAAACTAATTAGCTACTCACCTGATCCAGCAGAACTATGTCTTTCATAGTTATGTTCTTTCTAGTGAACTAAGCATTATATAGAAAAGTATGGCCTGAAGACTTATTAGGGTGACAATTTAAAGTAAA